ATCAAATGATATAAAAATCAGACTTATGGTCAAATGTTTTACTCATAAAAAATACATCGACCATAACGAGATATTTTTTTCTAGTTTTTAAATGAACTTATTAAGTATCATTTTAAGTTACATTATAAGGATGTGAAAATAAGATTTCTGATTGGGGATTCAGATTTATATGAGTTAACCTAAATGATTCACAGAGAAAATGAAAGAAATATAAAATTTAGTATGCAAATTTAAGAAATCAATTTATGATCTTAAACAAGCTTCTAGAGAATCATATATAAAGTTTCTTAACATCATTACTTCCTTCCTATTTAAGAAAAATATTATTGATTAATATTTATATCTAAAGATCAATGAGAGTAAATTTATTATATTGATCTTATATATGGATAATATTATGCTTCCTAGTAGTCATTTTGATGTATTATATTGAATAAAAAAATTTACTAAAAATTTTAAGATTGTTGATATTAATGAGGTATTTTATGTTATTATGTTATTAGTATTGAGAAGTTCAAGAATAAATCTCAAGGATTATTAAGAATATCTCAAAAAGGATATAGGAGAGATTTGTTCAACGAATGAAAAAAAAAGTAAAAGTTTTAATAAAAACAAATATTTTAAAAATAACTTTAAAAAATCATATAAAGAAAAATATTCTTTATGTATTCATAGTTGGAAGTTTATTTATACTCAAGTCTATGTTAGATCAGATATCAGTTTTACAGTTGGAATATTAGGTAAATACTAGAGTTATCTAAGATATTTGGAAAGGACGAAAGATTATATGCTCATATATATGAAATTAAATCAGATTGAAATGATAATATTTTTCATGTGCTAATTTTGTATATTACCTCAACAACAAGAAGTCTACTTTACGATTTATATCTATATCAATTGGAGAAAAAATTTATAAAAAAATATAAAGTAATATATTACTGTATATTGGCAATGGAAGTTGATTTTGTGATATACTTTGAGGCCACTAATCAAACTTTATCACTGTAAAATTTTATCTAATGATTTGCTATGGTCAAGCTTAATTGTCAAGTCGTTGAATATACTTTGTGATATATTGCAATAGCTTTCTTCTTTAAGAATGATAAGTACTATTACAGTTATATACATTATGGTATAAAACATTGATGGTTAGAGAAAAGGAGTCCAGAAATAACTAATATCAATTAATGACTTGAGTTCTATTATATTGATCGTTGATCCATTCACTTAGACTTATAGCTTAAAGTATTTCAAAGAATATATTCTTATGATTGGGTTTATAAGTAACGCATAAAAAAAATGATGATACATATTCGAATAGACATTATAATTGACATTCTTGTTTACGTATTTAAAGTTATTTGTTTCTGCTATCCTATTCATATTTATATATGTATATATTATAGTTGAATGTGATAACAGGATTGTCTTAACAAAATAAATTGAATAGATCATTTTGGACTCAATTAGAAAAAGCTAATAATGTTGTAGTACATAGAAGGAAATATGACATTGATGACATGCACCCGCTATGACTCATATTGATAATCAAACTTAATATAGTATTATTATATTTATTAGACATATTGGTCTATTTTTAAATTCACATATATAAATTATTTTTAAAAACTCAAAATCCAATTGAGTAAAATTATTTTTAAATATTTTTTTAATTTTTAATTATAAATCCTTTTGTATCTAATCAATTAATGGGTAAAGTGAGAGAATGTTAGATTATGTAACCTTATATAATTAGATAAGATATATTATGAATATGATTGGATTTTAATTATAGTTATCGGTCTAATTATGATATGATTCTTCAAGAGATGACTTTGATGGGAAAGATACTTTTAATTATTTATCCCAAATCTTCTACTCTTACCTATAAAAAGATAAGACATTATATGGACTATACACACATATATAATGTGTAGGTACGTAAATAAGAGACGACGAAAATATGTGACATGATTAATAAATTACAGATATTCTTTTATCTCATTTTAGTCACTTGAGTGGTTAACGAGAGATTACAGATCTTCTTTGATATTCCCTTTATCCTTAAATACATCGATCATAGTGATCTTGTGAATGATAGGATGAAAGAAAATGGTGAATTTAGTTCTTCTTACAACATCACTATAGATTTCGAATATGATGACGGTATAATTATATATCAAATAAAGGTTTTCCAAATAATATCTAAAAGGTATGCATCCTAAATTTAGACATATATTGTTATTTGATTTTATATTTTAATATTTTTTTTATAAAATAATAATATAATTATGATTTTTATGCTTACAATATATAAATAAAGATCTCTGACCACTTCTAATTAAAGTTTAAATACTTTTTTATATTATTCTTGGACCTCAAATTGACTTAAGCATTATATAAATTTAGTTTAGTATGTCCATGGCAACAATCCTATATCGGAATCACTTTTATAAGAGCTCATATTATCAGAAAGTCGTTTAGACCTTAAAATTCTGACATGATTTAAAAAAAAAATATTAAATTAGATTGGATCAATTTTTTCACATCCAGATGATGATCAAATTTAATGTTAATAGCAAACAAACATTCGCATAATCTAGTCTTAAAATCTCATCCTTCTTTGAAATTATGAGATCATGACGCAATAAATACAAGCTTAGGGTTTTGCCAACCTGAAGGAGATGAAGCCGAACAGGATAGCCTCTGCTATCACATGGTAGTTGACTACATGATGATGACTGCATGTTTCCGTTGCCGACCATAAGACATGGACAGCCCACGGTGATGGGACTTCCCTCAGACATGCTTTTGCCTCGCACAGCTCATGACATCTGTTCTCCAGTTGACCACCTTAAAGATGAGAAGGGTGGATGACACATTCACACCCTGCGGAGGTTGCAACCTCTCATCTCCTCCCCCCATAATAATATCTCGCTTTGACACCTGCATTCCAACACAAGCCAAATATGTTATTCGTAGGACTAATGAGCATCTTCGAAGGATGATACTAACAAAGATGCCATTTGATCCAATCTTCGGATTAACAAATGCGAGCTGACAGTCTATGCATTCAATAATCCTTTTGCCTCGCAAGTGGTGTTGCTCTCTCCCACGCCAAGCTTTGACCTTCACCGGGCCAGCTCTCGCCTGGTGCTGCGCGTTTACATGGACTTGGTGTTGCAGTTGACCTGCAGACCTCATGTCAGAGTGCATCTGAGGCGGAGGTGGAAGAAGACAGTCCTCGCCGCCCCACATCACGTGCCATGTGCGAATCGATCGATATCTGGAGAAGTCTTCGCTCCTAGACTTTGAGCAAAAGCTTTGCATTAAATCAATGCAATCCCACGAACAAGTTGGAGCTTACCATCCTTAATGTGTTGCATCCAAAATCTCAAGATCAAAACATGATGCTTTTCCATTTCCCATAACCCTAACAAGGCACCTTCTTGTTCTTGTTATTAGTATTCCTATCGTAGAACAGTTTGGCCATGTTATAAGAAGGGACGGTGGGAGAAGCGGTGGATGGAGATGGGTTGACAAGAAGGGAAGGTGAGAGAAGTGGAATGGGGATGGGAAGATGAGAAGTCATCCACCAACCCATCCAAGATTCAACCAAAGACGAGTGGCTGACGACGATCCCAAACCACACTCTTTCCATGCCATCATGATTTACTTTGAATGATAATTTCTGCCATATTAATCCAAGTTATCAAAGAAGATAATTTTTTTTCAAGAATATTATAAATAAGGATTATTCATATCCCAAACCCCTCGTCGTTTTCATGGCCTAACAAATAATGCATGACATTTCTCGTGTAGCTGCATATGAAGCCATATATGAGCCTATCATCGTTCAAGACCATTCTTAAGAGTCGAGCTGTATCAACGCAAAGGGATAACTATGTACAACTGTTATCATTATTGTAGCTCATGCAAAATGTCCTCTTTGACGCAACAGTGCTGAATGACCACTAGAATTGTACGATCAAATGCCTAATCCGATTTCTAGTCCAATAATTCCATGCAATTAATTCTTGGTATGTGGTTGCAAATATAACTAATGCATAGATTAATAAGGTAACATGTATACAGCTCTATATGGTTCACTCGCATTTAACGAGCTTCACAAAGCTACGTTTACTTCAAAGGATTCGCCAAGCTCTCGAGCACATCGTTTCCGACACGGGGTAAGTCCAAAAAAGGCAAATGGGATCCCATCCACTTATGATTTTAAATATGATCGCCAGGGCTTCCGTATCAGCGTCGTTCACCTGAAACGGACGCGCCAGATTGAACCCGAATGGCCCGATCATATGAACGTTCGTCCAGCATCTGAAGAGGATCCCATCTTTCTGATGTGGCACCCGCGTGGGTTCCACTTACAGCGGACGCCTCCATGCTGCGTCAGCACTAATTAACCCAACAAAAAAGCGATAAAGCCGTGCGTATCTGGCCCATTAATTACTGTCTTCTACCTGCTCCAGCGACACCCGCTTCACGTACCGCAGCTGCATCCCGCCTTTCTCGCGTGGGTCCCATGGAGTACGTAAGTATTGTAGCCGGCTCCCTACTGCCCAAAAGCAGGTGGTAATCCGTGCGGGTTATATTCCGACGTCCACCGGACACAGATAGAACCTTGCGTGTTTTGCGCACTAGTTGACGATTCGTACTCACTACCGGAGTACCCGCCTCATGTACCGGTCAGGTTGCCTCTTCGCGCCTCCGACGGCGTCGCGCGATCCGTGTGTCGCGTAAAGCAGAAACGGATTAGCAAAGCATTTTTTCGTTATCTCCACTAAAAACGTGTTTTAAACTGCGCCCTTACGTTACGAAGGTACTTACGAATAGGTGCTGTTGTTGTTGGCGCACTTTAAGAAGTGCATCGACCCGTCCGCGTCACTCTTAGATCTTGATGTGCGGCAAGTGTTAAGTTGTTTCGTGTTTCGCGAGATAAGCCGGTGAGCGACCAGCCGCTAATTTTAATTCGGGCTCTTCTTTCGGCGCTTCCTCGGTGCCTTTCCTTGTTTCGTCGGAAACCCCCAAACGCCCCCGCCTCCCACTTATCTTCCACTTCTCTGGAATCTCCCATCGCCTCTTATCGGCTGTCTCCGGCGAGTCTTCGGCCGTTCCTACGGGATTTGGCGCTGTCCGGGTGGGTCCGACGGCCAGGGGACGGCTTGGGGTAGCGGCGCGGAGCTGTGCCGGTGAGGGGCGGCCGAGATCTGGAGACTGGGAAACTGGGAGGAGCGCCGAAGGTGGAGATCCGATATGTGGGCGCATAAAAATTCGTTTTTGTGCCGTTTTAGCTCACTTTTCTCGGGCGGCATAGACGGCGGAAGACGGCAGTGGTTCCTGGCGACGCTGGTGTTGACGCTGACGGCCGCTGTGGCTGCCGCGGAGGAGGCACCGGCGAGTCGGAGGCACGCGTACGCGGCGATGATGTACATGGGGACGCCGAGGGACTACGAGTTCTACGTGGCGACGAGAGTGATGATGAGGTCTCTCGCGAAGCTCAACGTCGACGCCGATCTCGTCGTCATCGCCTCCGTCGATGTCCCTGCACGATGGGTCCAAACGTTGTGAGATCTCTCTCTCTCTCTCTCTCTCTCTCTCTCTCTTCTTTCTTAAGATTTGGTGATCAACCCAGGAAAAAAAACGATTTTATTTGCTAGGATTAACATCAGCTGGTTGGATGGCGTTCAGATGCTACAGATCCATTTGCCGTTTCTTTTGTTGGTTAAATACTAATTAATAGAATTAGATCACTGTTTGAGAAGAGTAAAATTAACGTATATGCAGAATAATAAACATATTTTTATAGTCTTTGTTGAGCTGAGTCCCGATTGGGTTGTGGTTGTTCTGCGTACTAAATTTATTGTTATTTGCTGGCCTGCCATTGGGAGTATCGCTGTTCTCCATCTTTTGACTTTTTAGTGCCTTGAAAGCAACAGGGCGCGTCAAGGAAACCGCTTATTCCTGATTTTGTCCCCTTCTATTCTGTTGAATAAAATAATTGACGGTCTGGGATCATAAGTTGACTTGAACAAGAAAGAATCCCCAGTCATTTGCGCTCAATTTTAGAAAATAATATTGGAATTAACATTATGTAGAGTTGCAATTTTATCTGATGACCCCCTGTCTAATTCTCAGATTGATTCATAAACACTGCTTACACGAAATTTACGTTCTTTAACTATCTTCATGTGAACTGTTTATATATATCATCATCCCTGTTATCATGCTATTTTCTTGATTAACAGAGATATTTTTTATTAAGCTTAATTAGTTGAGTTGGTACCGCACCTAGGACAACTCAGTTAGACTGCATTTTTTAGGACTAAAATGGCTAATAACTCAATTTGGCATAGTAATCTTTAATTGCTCACGCCACATATTTGATGATTGGCATGACAGGCAAGAGGAGGATGGGGTGAAGGTTGTTGCTGTTGAGAATCTGAAGAATCCATATGAAAATCAAGGCAACTTCAACACCAGATTCAAGTTGACATTGAACAAGCTCTATGCGTGGAGTTTAGTTTCATATGATCGAGTCGTAATGCTTGATTCTGACAACATTTTCCTCCAGCGTACCGATGAGCTTTTCCAGTGCGGCCAGTTCTGTGCTGTCTTCATCAACCCCTGCATCTTTCATACTGGACTTTTTGTTCTTCAGGTACTACGCTTAGTACTCCATTTTGTAAATGCCAACTGTTTTCTTTTCATTGAATACCATATCTTGTATACATAAATGATCATTGATATAACAATAGGATAAAAGTAGGATTCATGGGTCGATTGCATTCAAATTTTTATCCTGGAATTAGCCCAAAAAATCGATTTTTGACCTTGATCGTAGAGACGAGCCAACCTAGCTCCAAGCCCAAAGTTGATGCAAGCAAAGAACACCCTTGGTGCGAATCTCGATGAATGATGAGGAGAATAAGGTGGAATCCCCAAGAGTTGCGCCTCCACACTTGCAATTGAAGATCATCAACAGGAGTTTTCTGATCCCTTCTGTTAGACAACAAATATGTCGTGGCTGGTGAGTCAGCACGGCTAGGTCCACGGGTCGATGTCGGGAGCTTTTGCAGAATGATTCGGATGATGAGGTACTCGAGCTCTCGGGAAGGAGTGGTAGTTGGCGTTGGTCGGGATCGGGGTTGATTGTCGACTCCTTGGTGCCAGTCGAATCGTGCTCCCATGCTGAGTCCCTCACCGTCGATGAGTGGTCGCTCTCCTGCAAAAATGACCTTCGTCGGGTGGTACCCGGTCGTGGCTCCTCCGACAAGCAAGTTAGTAACGAGAGGGATTATTTTTTTCCTTCTTTTTTTCTTGTCTCCCTCTTGCCGGAGGCCAACCAGGGGTTTTATACTGTGGCGCGAGGGCTGATGGTGCGTCGATTCGGCGTCGCTGCTGTCGAACCCCGAGAGATGGGACGGCCCTTCTGATCGGCCGTCGTTCGGGGACGCGCAGAGCGGCGTCAGACGGCACCGCCCCGTGCTCCTGGGATGGGATGTGTGGCATATCTTCTTAGTACGAGCTCCCGAGACGGGACGGGTGGCGTAGGGCTCCGATTTGGCGTGCGGTGTCAGGGGTGACGTGTTCAGGCCGCCAAAATATACCATATCACCTTCGATATCCAAGTTAGAGAAATTTCCAAGGTGGAGAACAAAGAGAGTGTGTGAGAAGAGAGAGAACCCCCTTTGCTTTGGGAAATTCCTATTTATAACCTGAGGTTCCACGTCAACCCAGGTTCCTTAACCGCAAGTGGTTGTGGAAAATATTCTTCGAGTCATACGTAATTTGGAGAATATTGTATGTTGTGATCTGGGTTGACGTGATAGATCCACGACCAAATTTGTGGTCTCCTATCATGTCGATGCCCGCATGTCAAGTCTCCAGATGATGGAAATTCTGTCCTCATCACCTTGCATGTCAGCAATTTACATGGAAGGTGATTTTTTCCATTGTCTGGCAATAGGTCCTCAAGTTATGCTGGACATTTAGGATAATGCTGTAATTACAATTAAGTTCCATGCTTAAAGGAGTTGCATCACTTCCATCTTATTTTCGTCAATCACTGTCTCATCGGGTGGCAGATTGTGGTATTGGAAAGTTAAAACAATGAGTCAATTTGGTTAGAATAATTGTGTCAATAGTTGACTAATGCAGAGGATTGTAGTAGTCTATAAGTCATATCAAGCATATCAGGATTGATGGAGCTGTCAATAAGTGTTTTACAAGTTAAGACTTAAGCAAAAGTCACTACCAAGTAAACAGAGAAATCTTTTCTGAGTTGTAACTTGTTTGGTTGTCAGCTTTGACATTTCATAATTTGAAGGTAAAGCATGCAAGGTTATTTTCGAGGTGGCACCTGATTTTGCCAAATAAACATAGGACAATTCAAACCTACTAACTAATGTATCATGAGAAATTTTAACATGGGTGACAAATTAGAATATGTCTAATTTTTTGTTGAAACAAGATTCATTTTAATGATCTTTCGGCTTGTTAGATCCTTTTTGGATACTATCAGATAATATAGTAAATTAGCAAGACAAAAGAGTCAGTTTAAGATTCATCGAGTAATTGTTGCATAAAGGGAAACTACATGACTCTCTTAGCTGTTAGTTTGACAGCCCTGAATTTATGAGACTAATGATGCCTAGCGAAGCTAAATGCAGCTCATATCTCTTCTAAATCTCTCCATTTCTCATGAAATAATTGCATTAATATGGGAGGTTAGAGTTAAATCTTCATATCATAGTGTATTTACATGAAAAAGCTCAAACTATTACCTGGATTTTCCTTCGATTCAACACCACATCCGAATGCTGTAATGGAGCAATATAATTTGAGCCATCCATTTTATGCTGAAAAGTCATTAACTAAAGATCTGCAATGCCATTGATGAGTTTGGCACTGAATATAATATGATCTAAGATTGCAGTATTCAGGCAGCTGTGTCAATTTCTGATGAGCAATCATATGATTTTCTGTACCCTCACAAAGCATCTTTTTAGTCTGACATTCATGGACATGGTGGGGATGATATAGCATTGTTAGGTGGTAGATCAAAACTCAACATGCATACATATTAGTTGCATACTAAAAGAAGATATTAACAAGTAATAATAGCATATCAGCATTAAGAAGTAAATACTAGTGAGATCGCCGTACAATGATTTACAACGATTGTTACATGGACAGCATCTATATATTTCACTGATATCATCACTGAATAGAATAAACTAAACAGTTTGTACTTAATAACTTGATATTAAATGTTTTAGCTAGCTTAGTTGTTAAAAACTTTGATGGTTAATTGCAAGGTCATGGGCTCAAATCCTGCATTTGTCATTTATCTTTAAAAATATTAAAAAACCTGATATTTCCATTTTAGAGAATGGTAATTTAAACTTTAATTGCTGCGTCATATGCTACAAAATCAGGTCGGTTTGGCTATAAAGATAGCAGTCCTATCTCTACAGAATTTGAAGTCATCAATTTCTTAGCTTCAAGTATAATTGAATTTCATCTTTCATTGTGCTTGTCAATTAGGTAATTCCTAAAAGTAGCTTATACCGTGAAAGTTCAATAATCCTTGTATATTCTAATCATAATCCTTTCTGTTGCCTTGCAGCCTTCAATGAATGTATTCAAGAACATGCTGCATGAGCTAGAAATTGGACGTGAAAACCCTGATGGTGCAGATCAGGGTTTCCTCGCAAGCTACTTTCCTGACTTGCTTGATCAGCCAATGTTCCATCCACCTACTAATGGTACAAAGCTTGATGGTGCCTATCGCCTGCCTTTGGGTTACCAGATGGATGCTTCATATTACTGTGAGTGCAGAAACTGACCTTTCTACACCTGTTTTTGTTTCCTATACTTGATGTAATGCCAGTTTCGAATGGTATTGCACTGCCCTTAGGTTTACAAGACTCGAATGAGTTTTATGATGACTTGTTTTTCTTGCAGATCTGAAACTCCGGTGGAGCATACCATGTGGACCAAATAGTGTAATTACATTCCCCAGTGCCCCATGGTTAAAACCTTGGTATTGGTGGTCTTGGCCTGTCTTACCATTGGGCCTTTCATGGCATGAGCAACGTCGGAAGAATCTTGGGTAAGTAATTAACAACTTGTAGAATTGTCAGCTGTGACCATACTTTAGGAATCCCAGGTTAACCCTGATTCTTTTTGCAATATTTTTTAATTTTATTTTTCATTCTCTTCTATATACCCATGTTGGAAGGCCAATATTACTGAAAGTCGCATCATCTTTGACCCAAAAATTGGCATACTTCTGGCTCTAATATGTGACACCTTTGCTTTGAATCCTGAGCAGGTATGGTTCGGAGGTGCCAGTGTTGCTGATCCAGGCAGTAATCTATTTTGGAATCATAGCAATCACCCGATTGGCACGACCAAGCTTGTCAAAGCTTTGTTATAACCGGCGGCCAGAAAAGAGTATTGTAATCCTACACACCACACTCAAAGTGGCAGCAATGTGGTCCATTTTTGCTGCATACACTGTCCCATTTTTCCTCATCCCACGGACAGTGCATCCCCTTTTGGGCTGGCCCCTTTATGTTCTTGGAGTTGCTTCTCTTTCTTCAATCGTGATCAATGTCTTCCTGCTCCCACCTTTGCCAGTCCTCACAGTGTTACTGGGGATATCGGGATCACTGTTTGTGATGGCATTCCCTTGGTATCTCGATGGTGTCATTAGAGCTCTTGCAGTGTTTACTTATGCCTTCTGCTGTGCTCCAGTGGCATGGGCATCCTTGATGAAAGTATCGAGTTCCTTGCAGAACCTACTTGAAAGGGAGGCATTCTTTCCGAGACTGGGGGAGTCCACACAACTGTCTGAGTTGAACAAACTGTATTAATCTGCACATATAACCAGCTAGTCCTATTTATTTAGATGATTTTGCCGTTCACTTGTATCGGTTCGATGTAACCCTGTATGGTAGTATTAAATACCATATAGAAGAAGAGGCAAAGGACTGGCTGGCGAAGATGGGAGTGGTGATTTTGTGGAGCAAGTTCACCTAGGGTTGCTCTGGTGTTCAGGGGACACAATGAATGGTGATTAACATTTGATCTCTCCCCTCTTGAATGTGAAACACTTCAATTTGGAAAAATGTGTGTGTGTTCTTGATCTATAATTTTAGCGTGAAGATGACAATTATGTGCTGTGTTGTCTACGCATATCAATGAAAAGCTTTAGCAGTATCATGAATTCATGGTGTATTTAACTGGGGCAGATTTAGCAAAACATGGTGCTGGTAAAAGAATTGAACCCTAATCTTTTATGTTTCTGGCAATTCAGCTAATAATTCATTGTCATAAGTATTATTCATTTATTGAAAGATAAAGAAAAACTCTGTTGTGCTTGCTTGCAGTCTATTCTTTGTTACATCTATGGTGGATTTGACAAGGACAGAACAAAATACCAGTTTGAATAGAGTTGGGACTTTTGTGTATTATCAGATGACAAGTCCATTAAATGATATTGTGAAATTGATTTTAGATGTCTGGTTAATAAAATAGTTTAATTATTTTTCAAAAACATAAAAAGAAGGTATATGTTTGTAACAGAGAAAGAGTAAAACAAGAACTTTTCGCTTTGAAAAATATTAGAGTCATAACCTTATAGATTACAAGTATATAGTAAGCCTTTGAATAGCCTAAGTATCTGTTCAGCAACCTTGTGACAGATTACAATAGCATACATGTCAACAGATTGACTGCAAGTCTTATGATCTAATTCAGCTACAAGTTTTGGCACTTTTGGAACATCAAATTTACATGATCTCCTTTTGTTATACAATTTAAAAGAAAAAACAAGGAGAAATGGATGTGCAAAAGCTGTTGATACCAACTTGACCATCCTACTTTGTCTTGCTCTTTGTTTGTGGTACTGAGAGACAAACTTCATCTTTTTGTTCTGTTTTTGTTTTCCAAAAGATAACAACATGTTTGGTGGTGGGAGCAGTATAGGAAATTTTTATTAGGTAAGAGGGGAGCCATAGAAAAAGTATTCTGTCAACAGTCCTAATCTTGTTGTTTTGTTTTCTATTTCCAAGTTCTTGGAAATAAAAAATGAAATATTTCTCAATAATAAAAGGGCACTATTTGCAATACAATTTACATCTCAATATGAAGATCACAATATTAAGATGCAAAATGGGGCCTAAACTAATGCATTTAAATCATAGCCAGCTTATCACTTGAATGGTTCTCCTCAAATCAACTTCTCCTGTAATTTTGTATGACTGAACTGTTGTATATTGTTCAGTTGTAATTGATGTGGTTGATTGTCTTTCCTTTTATCTTCTTTTGTTACTTCATTAAACAGGCAGAGAACAATTTGATTGGAAATAGAGGGGGCTCAAGGAATTGATACACATGTTTGAAAGAATCTCAATATCACAGGTTGATTAGCTTGTATAATTGGTTTGGAATGAATTCTATGCATTTGTGTCATCTTGATTGCTTAGGTATTGTTGCTTGTAGATTGGCATAAAAAGAAATTTATATTCAAGATAACAGCAAATACTAATAGATATCATTCCATAAGCTTGAAATTTAAGCTCCAAAAGCATAACATTTAGCAGAACTAAGCAGCCTGTTGTATATGCTGTAATACACTCCTCTCTCTCTCTCTCTCTCTCTCTCTCTCATGCTTTCAAGGTAACTCCATGCAGTGAGTGTTGTGTGTTCTGGGAGGAAGCATGTCACCCTGATTACTGGCAAGAAGAAAATAAATTGTTGACTTCTCATGGTTGTAGTAACTTTGCATGCTTTTGGTAGACGAGTGAAGTAAACCGCAGAGAAGAACAGAGGAGATTGTGGAGCTCATTATTTATCCCCAGCAAAGGCTTGCCATGAATTATAGCACAGAACTGAATGCATTCGGATGAACACGAATGAGTCCACATCCCTCTTCTCATGTAACTATGTAAATATCATGCTAAATTCTAGAGAAGGTATAAAAGGCCACACAAAAGCAGAACTTGATGTCAAGGCTCGTCTTCCATCCAAAGAGAAAGGGATGATGAGATGGACTTATAGTGCTAGCATCGAGATGGCATTCAAGGTCTCCTCGTTGGTCCGCTGCAGGCCGGCGGCGACGGCTCGCTCGTGCACCAGCCGGAGGGCCCGCTCCCACCGCCCGTGCCTCTGCTGCGCCGCGGCGGGCTCGTCGAGGAAGATGCGGGCGAGGCGGAAGGCGAAGAGGCGGAGGGAGAGGAGGAGGTCGGCGCCGGAGGAGGAGAGGCAGGTGGCGGCGAAGGGGAGCTTGAGGGCGAAGGGGCAGAGGAGGGAAACGAGGAGCTTCCAGTGGCTGTGGCTGCCCCCAGTGAGGAGCTTCAGCTTGCTCAGTACCACCAAGTGGAACGCCATCTTGCGCTTCGCGGTGGCCGCGCCTTTCCCCCTTCGCCCTTCGCCCTCCTTAATTGCTGTTCTTGCTTTAAATGGACTATATTGCCCTTTTACTGCTGCTGCGCCAACAGCACGCGGTTCGACCGGTTCATTGTTCGATGCGGATCGGATAGCTTTTGTGAGTCTGTGGTAACATGTGATGCGTGAGAAATATCAACCCGGTTCATCATCCCGGTCCATTCGGGGTATTTGGATCATTTACCGTGCGCATCGGACCGGCTCAAAGATGCTACCGAGAGGGGCAGGATCCAAAGCCACCGCGGTCCCACGACGTGGCCGGACCCCCACGGCAAAGATCCTGGACCCCGCATCGATCCCCCACAGGATGTTGTACACGTCACCGAACGCGGCGGGCTTCCTGGAAGATTCAATCTGGTCCGTCATGTCGTTGGAGGCATCATAATTTGAATATAAATGTATGTTAATGTTGATGCATATAGCCAATTTGTTCTTCGACCAATAACATCATTAAATCAAACTTCAAAATACATATTACTATACGGCATTCAAGAATAATTTGTACTTGCGTCTTCGTTGGCAACAAAAGATACAGCCAGCCGTTCAACATGAATTTCCTGACATTGACCGTATTTAGTTTGTCTTCATCATTGAGTGATCGACGTACACTTTGGCATGAAAATAATGATGCGTCCTAATTAATTTACGACTTTGACCGTATCAGGAACGTACATGTTAATTAATACGTCCGGAGGAAAGCTTGCAATAATGTTGATTAATTAGCTTAATCTTAGTGATCGAAACAAACGTTAAGCTATTCTCCTTTGAAATCATTGATCCGACCCGAAATCCGCCGGATTCGGGTTGACACTCACCCCGGCTCGTGTCTTGGTCCGCATGTGAGATGTTCGTACGTGTGATGCGTTGGCTCCGTTAATGGATCGACATCGCCTTTCCCACCCGTGAATCCCAGCTGGGGACCTGGGCCGTGTTGAGAGGGGCCCACATGTGGGTCGTCTATACGAGGTTTTCGAATCGGAAGACAGGTGTCGGAGAAGAGTAGGATGAGAGTACGGGATCGCCTGACCGAAACCCTCGCGATTGAGATCGAGCGAAGCGGAGGCGCAGGCGGGAGAGATGCCGAATAGGGAGCTATTTGCCCGACCCAACGTCTCGTCGTCGGCGTCCGCCGAAGGGAACCGCATGGCCTTCCTCAACTGGTCCGGTGGAGCTCGCTTCGATCAGCACCTCGACGCCGAGGTCTAAATTTTGTCACGAAAATGATTTCTTGCCTCTTTCTTTTGTTCTCTTTGCTCATGCTTGATTTGCTAAGAGGAATGAGTGAGCATAAAGGACTTGTTATTTTTTATGATAATAGACAAATAAGATGAAATTAGCCAAAGTTTGACTGCAAAATTAATGGAGAAATGACGATGGTTCAGCCAAATGCTACCTAAATCGTGCTTATGTGCCTACGATAGCTATTAAACAACATTGGCTGTGTTGGTATACTTTGTTGGAGAAGTTTTGTGAATACTGAAGCTGCACTATCTGAAAGAAAAGTATATATCAAGAATGAAGAATATAATATCTTAAATAATGTAAAAAATCAAAGGAAAGTATAACTAGATACATATCATTGTACACAGGAACAGAAAACCATAGCAGTTGACTAGGAAATAATGCACATGAGGGTTTTATCAAAAATTGTTTTAGGGGTCAAAGAGTTAATGATATAATTTTGCTATTGAAATTTATGTTAGGAGAAAGATAGCACAAAAAGTGCATATGCCTCTCAAATATGATTATGTTAGATCAAGTGACGTTTCAAAATTTTAGGTACTAGCACATTGAACAAAATTTTATAGGGAAATCCTAATGATGACCAATGTGTAAGACATTGACAGTACTAGTGATATCTAGAAACCTTAATTGACTTAGGTGGCCTAGTGGCTATGAAGTTACACCACGAGTATTGCTTTAGAATAATGACCATTAGACAATCTTTTAATGTTCGAGTGTGGACTAGTCAGTTTGTTTAAGTCGTGTGTAAATTTTACACTCGATCAGTTGTAATATGATTTGTATTTGTTACAATTCAGTTGTGATATGATCTGTAAAATGTCTTGACATCTCTCCTGATACTTCCCAAACAATGCCTTGACTATAATGCTCCTTCATTGGTGTTGGTGATAACTGCAAAGGCAACAGTGGTTGCCTTAGCGAGTTTTGGTTACATCTGCAGGCATCGGTTGCAATGGTGAAACGCAGTTGAAAATTAGGTGTGTGGATACATTTAAAAAGTTAAATGCTATCTAGGTTACCTATTTAGTGGTTACTATTTATTCAAAACATTGATACAAGTATATAATGAGACACTCGATGTTGCTTAAATTTCAAGAAGTAATCAAACATATACTATATGTGTTGAAGAAATCAAAGGATCATATAGAGATAAGAAAGACTTGCACATGCTTTTTATTGTCTTAGAAAAATCCTATGACAGTTCCTTATGGCATAGTGTCATGTGTTTCAGAAAAAGAAAGGTGTGCCTATTTGTTGCATTGTGGTAATAAGGACATATAAGTATGAGTTGTCTATTAGGATAATAAGGGTGTCGACTGAGTTTCATGCACCTGTTTGTTTGAGTCTATTGTTTATGCACATGTAATGGATGGACTTGCTATGTAATTTACCTTTTCTTCTGTAATTGAGATTGGCTGAAGTGGAGCTACAGTTGTTCATCTTGTGCTCACTGTTCAGTGTATCATGGAATTTGTTCAGTGTAAATTATAAAATAATGAACAAATATTATTAGCTTCTTGTGTCATCTACCTGCTATCAGTTGTGACACTTTGGGGATGATTGACTGTCGATCCGGCAGAAGTGTTATAATGAGGCTACCTTGAAGATGCACATCATATCTGTCAAAGCCAAATTGTCAACTGAAAGAAGATTATGAAGGTAAAAGTACAGATTATGAAGGTAAAAGGCATAACATAACTGATCTCTTTCTCAAATAATCTTTCATGCATCGTCTCATCTGGATTATAAGTTGCTACTGTTTGATTTTTTTTTCCAAGAGTTAATATACATAGGTGTTAAAAAAATTAAACATCTGTTAGTACTTTTGATAAACTTGCACCAGATTTGTTGCCATTTGGGCCATGAGCAAACTCACTACCATAATTCTCAAGGTAGCGCACATGGGAAGAATGTCAAGTTAGTAAGTTGGATCAAGACCTTGTTTCTCAAGAAAGGATGCACTTATTTTTGTCTTCATTGTAGCACTGCTCTGTGGCTTTGAGTAACAAGGAAGACATTACCATGACATTGACTGCAAGATAATATTGTCTATAATTTCTTTTGGCTAGAAGCTATCCTATATAACAAGGTTCTATCTAGAAAGCAGAGAGTAAAAGTGTAAAACAACACTCCTTTATTGCATCACATAATTATCTCCACTTGGTGAAGGTTAATAGCTATAGCTCCTAGAATCAGCAGGAATTTAATAATTGAAGGGTTCGAGAGGGACAACTGAAAGGAGCAAGCTCGATTTCGTGAAGAGTTGTAAGAGAGAGGTATGCTGGCAAAGACAAGGGAGTTAAATGGAACCGAGGAAATGTTATTGAGCTAGAGAATGTGTAGTTTCTTATGATAAGGTTTAGTTTGCCCTCATTAGAAAACTTGTCTTACTGCAGCATGCAGGTGCAAGGTCAGAAAGCATTTCTTCCTCTGAGAAGTTGCCATGATGCATGTATCTGTGATCACTTCTGTTCTCGTGCAGATCAATATTGGAGGATACACTAAAATGAGACAGTCAACTGGAATTATCGAGGTAAATTGCCCATTTTTCCCTATGAATGTCATAAATTCAAAAAATAATAATTTTGGAGAAAACTGGATGTAAAGGTTCTAAAGAAGCAGAATTTCAAATAAACTTCCATCCGAAAGACCAAAATGTCTAATGGTCGACATTGATTTCATAGATAGGAAGAAGTGTTTTGAACTTTTTAGCTGAACATTCATTGGTATGTAAACCACATGATGATTGTGAACCCCTGTGCACATGCTTGCAGGTGACTCTTCAGGAAACCCCAAGAAAACTCAAAATCGCTTCATCATCACAGTAAGATGTGCCAGGAAGGCTGCTGGGAATGAATTCTCATTGTGAACTACATTTTTCATCAGAGGAACTGGATCTTAACAGATATCTAACTCGCTTAGAAATAAGTCTACTCCTTTTACCAAGGGAAGTCAATCATGTACAGAACCAGCTTGACGGGACTTCATGTTGAGCCGACAATTCCACATTGGCAAAATTCATCGGTCCTTGCATTATTGCATGCAATGCTCGTCGGCAGGACTTCATTATAAGTTGAATCTGTAGGTTAGCAAATTAATGGACATGACATTTTTTGAAGTCTGAAAAATATCTTAGACTGTGTCCCATTGTGGTGGGTGAGATGGGCCTGTCTCAATCAATCATTTGTGACCAAGCAATCTGCATGCCTCCTGCTGCTTCTGCTTGTGAATCATCTGCTGGAGCTTGATGGCACTTGAGAAGAAGATACCTCCAAGACCAGGAGCGGCTTGTGGCCCCTCAGCGGCTGTTTAATATGGGATCTTTAAGGTGTTCTTGTTGAGTAGGTGTATGTCTAAAGGATAAAGCAGATGATAATTATTATGTTAGATGATGTTTATTATGCTTGATCCTGTGGGGACCTAGTTACCTCTTTTATTAGCTTCTGTATATATTATTACTAGGTTCATTGGAGTTGATAATACCCAAAGACATGACTAGTTTAGTATCAAAGGCAAAGTTACATGATGGCCACACATACTCTTTTGACCAAAGCATTCTATTTATATATTCCTAATACCTTCAATCATTTGTGCCTAATTTGCTTTTCCTTAATGATTATATACACATTAACTATGTCAGCTAATGTAATCATCATCATCAGGACCAATATATCAAGTCAAATATGAGAGTTGATTTAATCACCATTAATCATGTACACATAAAAAATCGATCCGGTGAGGATTTAAAAAATATCAAAAGTCGACGGTCTAAAACATCACCTAATAAAATTTTATATCTAAAACATTAGTTTGATAATAATATAATTTATCCATTGATCATCTCGCAAATGTCATTCAATAATTTTTTAAGAAATATCAGTTAACCTAACTAGTGAAGATCAAATTCTATATGACCATATGAATCATTTGATTGATAATTTGAAATAAACAAATTCAACTTTTATATTAAAAAAATATTTATTTTATTTTATTTTTGGATTCTTAGGTGAGAAGAGGGAGTGGTTTGAGGAAACTCTTTTGATATGTATGGGGTGAGAGGAAGAAGAGAGAACAAAAAGAGCAACAGGAGCTACAGGACCGATGATGGATTCCAGGCTTTCTATAGATCTTTCGTGTTATCGAGTTTCATGATTAGATGTCGCAGTTTGGACGCTTCCGTGTCGCCTTGGGACACACAAACCTCAGTTCCCGTTTGCAGTATACAGTGGAGGAGATCTAAAGCCAGCCTCAGGTTTGCTAATTAATCTCTCCCTCTCAATCAATCTGCTTTTTAATTCCGTCGTTCATAGTAATATTAGGAATTTGACGATCAAAATTCAAACATAAAAAATATAATAAGGTGACAACAAAGACAACCAAAAGGGAAAGTTAAGCAGACAAGACACAGAGAGAGAGAGAGAGCGAGAGAGAACAAAGGGTAATAAATGGGACAGTGGAACTATGAGTTGGATAATACACTATTTTTTCTCGAAAAAATCGAAAGATATTTTGATCAATATGTAAGAAACGATTACCGATTTTTCTGATCCGGGGAGAAAAAACTCTGCGCAAGAAGAGGCAAATGCTGTGCGGTAAGATAGCCGAAATAGACAGGAAATTGAATTTGAGATTTCAAATCTCGAATGGTGTATCTGTATGCCGCTCCACGACAGGGCTACTCGGAGAAGGGAACCCGTCTCGTCGTCCGTGGCGTCTTCTTCGCTCGAAGCCAGTGGAACCGATCCCTGGCTCGGTCATCGCCTCCGACCATCCGTACTCGCAGCGCTGTACGGAGAGACCGACGTGGCGGTCATGTCTCTACTCTGCCACCTCCACGCGAGCGGAGTAAGCCGTGCCCTACTCAGCCTTCCAGCTGTCGTTCTTCCCCACCTTTTTACATGTTCTCAAAAGATTTATCTTTTATTATTATTATTATTTATAATTTTTATTTTATTTTTTTTAATATTTCTAAACTCGTCCTTTCTAAATAAGCCTGAGTCAAATTCGAAATCTGATATGACATATTTTGGGTCTCAGTCACGTCATAACCAACACCGCACTATATCACCGTCAAATTAGTAAGAAAGTATTTCAACGCATCGAGTCAGAATCCATACAAGACATCTCGGGGCATCCCGTCCCGATAAACTTGGGACGGCACCGTATCGAGAATAATAAGACTTCAATCAGAAACATAGAGTCGACACTTGCTGTGGTCTCTGGTACTGTTGACTGGGTGGTGACCACGGGAAATTTGACTTCCAGAACCAAGAAGAAGAAGAAGAAGAAGAAGAAGGATCAGCCCCATCATCACTTGATTGTTCATGAGAACCGACCACCGGTGATGGGTACGTAACTCTTGTTCGTGCTTGTGGACCCTTCCGACTTCAGAAGAAACTTTGGCTCCATGATGACGCCTTCTTCCACCAGCCTGCAATGCATTGGATTAATCGTCTCATGTTACTCTTTTATGACTTGGCTAATATTCACGCATCTCTGTATGGATGGCGAAAACCTTTGGTTATGTATAGACAGAAGCTACCTTCAGTATATCAATCCTACTGGTCTCCGGAAAACGATGGGGGGAACTGCATAGAAAGCAGTGAAGGACGAAGGGGGGATAAGAATTCCCAGTGCAGCAGTCAGCCACACCAATAATGTGGGCGCTCACCATGGTCTTTGTTTAGGCTTCATGGCGTTCCTCCTTTTCCCTGTTCGGAAGACAGGTTGGAAGCTCTTGTCATCTGGCAGCTGTTGATCCCCACCAAGGTTGGATTCTTCTGTGGCCTGTGAAGAATTGGATGAGTGTTCCTGATAATGTCATAGATGTTTACATTAGGAAAAGTTGCACGAGGATTAGTGAGAACAGCTTACTGTGCTTCAGTTAAAGATGAGATGGAAGGGAGTCTTCATCTGAGTTGGACACTTGTGGATCACCTTGAGATTCTGCACTCACAGGGTTGGAAGGACAGCCGACTCTTTATGGTTTGAGATCAAATCATGTCAGTGGAAACCATTTTAGCTCCTCCTCATAAAGCTGTGTCATTTTTCAGGTGTAAGAGGTGTACGGGGTTAAGTCATGACAGCAAAACCAGTCGAAAGATATCTTGTCAAGTTCAATTTCATGTTTTCTCCCCTGTTCCATTGTCCTCCAACCCATGATGGCCTTCCCATTAACAGAAGTCTGCTGTTTGGGTGGCATAACTTGGCCATTAAGCATGACTCTCTCTCTACTCCGAAGTCTGGAACCCTCTTCCCCTCATTTAACATCACCTTTCTTGGTCATTAAACATCACCTTTCTTGACTATATGAAGGCTGCAACACTCTTCTCCTTCGCATTTAAATTCAATGTAAGGAAGAGAAGGGAGTCATGGGCAGCATGCCGATTGTGTGGCATCCAAGATGAGCGCTGCACAAAGAGACACACGTGTTTAGTGAATACATATTACGAATGCTGCTCCTGTCCAGTTTGAATTATCCATTCAAACTCATCAGCTGATGCAGCTTCTGTTCATTTATAAGCTGCAGCACCAGCTAATGTGTTGGAAACTTCCTCCTTTGCCCCACTGGTTGCCTCCACCACCCATCACGTCGCGCCCCACCAAAACCCCTTCTTAAGCCCCCTTCCTCTCCCTCAGCTTCCTTCCTTCAAGGTCTCAGCTTTTCCACAGCCGTGCGCCAAACATGTCGATCCTTTCAGCTCCCCTGCTCCTTCTCTGTACTCTCCTCTCTCTCCAGTTCCCGATCCTTGATGGTTTTCAGTCCAATCCCCTGGTTCTGCCGCTGACCCACTTCCTCTCCCATTCCCAAAATCCCAACTTTACGGTCCTCCACCACCTCAAGTCATGCGCCCTCCACTCGGCCGCTCGCCACCGCCATCGCCGCCACCTTCCCGACCGGCGCAAACAAGTATCCTTGCCTCTGTCCCCCGGCAGCGACTACACGTTCACCGCCTCAGTTGGTGCGCCATCCGACCCCACCGTCGTCACCCTCTACATGGACACCGGCAGCGACGTTGTCTGGTTCCCCTGCTCCCCCTTCGAGTGCATCCTGTGCGAAGGCAAGCCGTCGTACCCCTTCGCAACCCCTCCGCCTCCTCCGCCGCCGGCATCCCGCCCCGTCACCTGCGGCGGCGCAGCCTGCTCCGCTGCTCACTCCGGCCTCCCTGCCTCCGACCTCTGCGCCGTGGCTGCCTGCTCCCTGGACGACATCGAGACCTCCTCGTGCTCCGCCCCCTGCCCCCCCTTCTACTACGCTTACGGCGACGGCAGTCTGATAGCTCGCCTCCGCCGCGGTCCCCTCTCCCTCCCGGGTTCCGCCGTGCCCGCTGCCGCCTCCTCCGCCGCGGCGCTCCACCTCAAAAACTTCACCTTTGCGTGCGCGCACTCCGCGCTGGCGGAGCCAATCGGAGTCGCGGGCTTCGGCCGCGGCCCGCTCTCCCTCCCTGCCCAGCTCGCGGCCCTCTCCCCGTCCCTGGCTGCCCGCTTCTCCTACTGCCTCGTCTCCCACTCCTTCAAGTCGGACCGCCTCCTCCGGCCGAGCCCCCTCATACTGGGCCGCACGGAACCCAAGCCATCCGAACCTGACCAAAACCCACCCTTCGTCTACACTCCTCTCCTCCATAACCCCAAACACCCTTACTTCTACTCCGTCGGCCTCGAGTCCCTTTCCGTCGGGCCGAGCCGAATACCGGCTTCGTCCATTCTGAGGTCCGTGGATCGAAAGGGGAACGGAGGGATGGTGGTTGACTCCGGAACCACCTTCACCATGCTCCCGAGCGATACCTACACAAACCTGGCAAACGAGTTCGACCGCCAGATGAGCCGAGCCGGGTTCGAGCGGGCGGCCGAGGCGGAGGACGAAACCGGGCTCCGGCCGTGCTACTACTACGAGGATCGGAAGCAGTGGCGGCGGAGGGTGCCGGGGCTGGCGCTCCACTTCTCCGGGAACGCGAGTGTGGCGTTGCCCCGCAGGAACTACTTCATGGGGTTAGAGAGCGGGGGGAGGCGGCTGGGGTGCCTGATGGTGACGAGCGGCGGCGACGCGTCCGGTGAGGAGGACTACGGCGGGCCGGCGGGCACGCTGGGCAACTTCCAGCAGCAGGGGTTCGAGGTGGTCTACGACCTGCAAGCGAAGCGGGTGGGGTTCGCGCGGCGGCGCTGTGCGGCGCTGTGGGAGGAGATGTCACGTGCGTGAGGGCGGCCCTCGCTCGCGGCTCGGTGCCTATGGGTGTTGACCTGGAATCAGGGATCGGTATCCCGCGCACGTGCGGGGTATGGCGCGTCATGTCTTTTTGTCCTGTTGTAACAGTTGTCAAGCACTATACGTGCAGGTGTAGATATCTTTCCGCGCTCTAGAAGTCTCTGGAAGGGATCGCAGGTAATAATGTAAATGAATGTGATTTCAACATCCTGTAAATGTGTGTAAACATCGTGACGCATGTAATCAAACTCCGATGCCATATGGATTTTAGTGTCATGAGCTGGACGATTTGGACTATCCAAGAGGGTACATAAACCCATGGATGCCTAATCAATGCCATATGGTCCACAACATTAACAACAGCAGAGATATTTATTTATAGTGACAGTAATGTATATATCACTTGAAATGTGGGACAATTCATGGCACATTTCTCTCCTCCCCGGTGCCAAACTCCGGGAGGTGAATTGGCACGGCACTGGACATTCTCTGCAAGACAATACCAGCATGAATGTCTATTAATCATGTTTTCTATGTGTATTCCAATGAAGTTTATATTTAATTGTGACGCCAACGTCATTGTAGGAGTCCAGCTGTGAATGGTTGGAAAGGGTGACATCGACCGCACATCGAAGAGGATCTTCTCACGCTTTTTAAAGCATCGTGCTGTGTGATTGCGAAACACCACGTAAACCATGGTCGGGTTCGACCCGTTCACTCGAAGATGGCGGCTTTGGGGCGACAATGCCGCGGTCGGCAGAGCGGCTCTTGATTGGCTGCGGCGAGCCAAGTGGGATTAAATTTAGACCCACGCGGCACGTCTAACCACGAGCGTCGCTAATCTCAAAGCACCGTGCGAAATTTCTAATAGGAGCGTTGGCTCCAAGGCAGGGGAGGACGACGCCATCCTCATCTGAAATCTCATCCGTCCATTTGAGTTCCCCCGCACGTAGCACGCAAATTAACATGCTTCCATTCCAATTCCAATTTCTGGTTGGGCTGTTACATGCGGTCCGACGAAGCCCATAGGAAGAATCCGCTAATACGACGTCATAAGGTATTGCAGATATATCCGGAAGCCTGCGTTCTGATGCATTGCTTTCCATGCTGCCAGCTGTTGTTCCCTTAAAAGTATCATCACAGCAGTACCTAACATCCCATTATTCTTCCTGCACTCTTCGACTGCCAATTGAAAGACTTGCAGGGATACAGCTAATATATCTCTCTCTACAGTGATTGAATGTACCAAGGGAACCATGATGCTGACTCGAAGGTCCCCTACACCCATACTTCCGCAAGAAACATGATCATAAAACCGATGAGACTGAACCCAACAAGCATAAAGAAACATGAAATTTCCAATGGTCCCTAATTCCATGGCGAACACAAATCAACATAGACTTGTTTCGACGTGTATATGAAGCATATAAATAAGGTAATGTGTTTCTTGAGTCCTACCACTGTGGCTACTAGCAGTCTTCTTTCCTTTGTCTCCTTAACATCTGTTATTTCTGTTCACTGGAGCTTATGCTCTTACGGCAATGGCGATGGCGAGGTCTCTCGGTGCCGGCATCGTGGAGCCACCTTCTTCTGGTGCAGTTTCGGGCATCCGAGTGCCGTCAGCACAGCCGGTGAACAACAGTCGGCAGGACAAGTCGATTGTCGGAGCAGAAGTGATCCTGGGGGGCTTCGCAGCTGCTGTTCTTGCTGTCATATCTTGCTAAATTCGAGTCACTAGGAAGCAATGCGAAGAGAAGGCATAGATTGGATCAGTAATATCTCTTTCTTCTGGAAGAAGTCTGTGTATCATCTTAAAGAGTTGTTTGGTTATGTAGAAATCCTAGATGGAGACAAAGTACAAATCTAGGTACAGTTCCATCTTCTCTCTCTCTCTCTCATCTCCTTTGTTGTGTAGTGGAAGAAAGGGAATTCAACTGTTTTCATGCATCATCTTGTTCATTACTGGTACGAGAGTGGTGTTGATGAAGCCTAGCTTTATCTCAGGTTAACAATGATGACATGATACATTTATCATTTAGTGGCTTGGTCTACAGGTCATGACATGGCCCGGAACAAGTCTGCAAACATCAATATGAAGAGAGAAATAAGAGTTTGTAATCACAGATACCAGATTTTTCACTGTTTCTTGTCAACCTTCTTTCATGTCAGTGGTGAAACATCAATCTGGTGTTGTTCATAATGGATGTAGGTTTAATGAGGAGATGGATTGCAGGGCCATTGAAGGAATGAAAATTCTTGGCAAGCTTAAAAAGCCTTTGAGATCCTCCATCTGACATTTATCTTTCATCTCAATCATTTACCTATTCTGAACAAAAACATCATAAAACTGATCTCATCAAAATTCCAGCCTAGACAATGTCTGGTGGGACATTTTTAGATAGATGAGGTCAATATTGTTTCCCATGGACCAAAGAATTCACTCTATTCTGATCCCAATGTATTACTACTAAATTTAATATTTGAAATTTGAGTTACATTGTATGTTGGAATTAGAAAACGCAAAAATCTAAAGGGAGAAAAAGAGGAGAGTTAAGGAAATTTAATTGGGATAATCCAGGACTTTGTGTTTATTGTTGTGTTCATATAGTTTAAAGTACATAAAGTACAAGATAATTTGATAGATTGAAAAGCATTTAAAGTACAAGATAAAGTACACAAAGGACACTAGAACTGCATTTTTTGAGGTTCTAATGGACATTAATTATGGGGAGAACTGATAGATTTGAAATGTAAACCATCTAAGTCTATATCACATCTAATCCATACCCTTATCCAAGAATTATATATATATATATATATATATATATATATATATATATATATATATATATAACATTAAGTCTCCAAATCTTTGACTAATTTGATATTAAATAGGGTGAATTTTGGAGAAAAAAAACTAATTTTTTGGGGTTTTTTTTAATCTAATATCTAGAATATTTTTTTCTTCTTTTTCTATAAACTGGTCCATAAGGTTAATGGATCCAATTATAATATTTTTAATAAAATAAAATTTATATTATCGTAAAAATACTATAACAAATTTTTTTATAAATATACTATTATAATATAATATTTATAATATTATTACACTATATCACAGTGTTTTCATGCTATATTATAATATTTTTTTAGTCACATTAGGAAAACATTGCAATACAATGATAGACATTATATTTTTGTATGCCTTATAATGTTTTTGTGATATTACTAAAATTGCTATAATAACAGTATAAAAATATTAGGGAATTATAAAAATAGGAAATAATTTTTGAGAAAACTCAAAGTCTTTTTAAAGTTATGGTAAAGGTCATTTAACGAGTTCCATCACTAATATAGTATGAGCAATGTAGCTTAGTAGAGAATTATTCGCTCTAAGATGAATCTGATAAGAATTCACCTCCTAAGATGGATATGATATAATGTAAATTAGCGAGAATATTCCATAACGGCTAATATTTTATATGATGATGTAAATGGACAAGTAAATAATTAATTTTCTTACATTTAATTCGAAAAGATTGCCATTGGCAGAAGAGGCCAATTAGGTTTAATTAATGAGAAAGGATAGCCACCTTCCCCATTCCCACGTTCGCGCTCGCTTCGTCCTCCGTGACTCGACTCCCTCGAGCCCGAAGGAGTTCGATTTCCTTCTCCTTCCCCTGCCTTTTACCTCGTATTTTTCTTTTGATTCTCCGCTCTCTTCGTTCTTCCTACGTTTTTTGGCCGGCGTGGTGGGTGGGCCGAAGGCGAACCCGACATGAGTTCCGGAGGGTTGCTCGAAATCGATCCCCTGGAGCTCAAGTTCCCTTGTGAGTTCGATTCCCCTTCCTTCTTTTGGTGACTTTCTGGAGTTTTCAGAAGACTGTTTGCGCGTCTAGGGTTGTTATTTGCTTTCTGATCTTTGGTTGTTTTTTCTTTCTGTGATTTGATCGGAGAAGTCGAAGTTAAGAAGCAGATCTCGTGCTCGCTGCAGTTAACCAACAAGTCGGATGATTACGTCGCGTTTAAGGTTGTCGATTTAGGTTTTTTTTGGCCCTTTATTCCCATTTTGTGTGCTACATTTTGTGGAACCCTACAAAGCTGCAATCTTTTTATCGTTTCTTGGAATTTTCTTTTGTAAAGTTGGAATCTTTGATTTGTATATAGGTGAAGACGACAAGCCCAAAGAAGTACTGTGTCAGGCCGAATGCTGGGATCGTGCTGCCTCGATCCACATGTGATTTAATTGGTAGGCTTCGCTCCCCTCGATTTCCGTACTTGGAAGGAAGCAACTGCATATTTTCTTCTAAGAAGGATACAATTTGCTTCAGTTACAATGCAATCACAGCGTGAAGGTCCTCCTGACATGCAATGCAAAGACAAGTTCCTTGTCCAGAGTGTCATCATTGACCAAGCCGCTACTACAAAAGACATCACCACGGAAATGGTACTTGTGGTTGCCAGCAATTATATTACAGCAGTTGCAATTGTGGTGATGTATGTATTGTCTTGAGGATTGACAAATGTCTTCATTCTTGTTTTAGTTTGCAAAGGAGTCGGGGAATGTGGTGGATGAGGTGAAATTGCGAGTGACCTATGTCTCACCACCTCAACCACCTTCGCCAGTACCTGAGGGTTCGGAAGAGGGCTCATCACCTAGGCCTTCTGTCTCAGAGAATGGAAATCTGAATTCTTCAGAATTACTTGCTGTGAGTATTTAACATGACAAGTTTATGCACACATTTCTTTGGTGTGTTCTTTTAATTTAAAGGATATTGGTCATAATATAATCTCAGGCAACAAGAGCATATGCCGAAAATATTCAGCAAGAAAAATCTTCTGAGGTGAGTTCTCTTCTTCTTTTTACGGAGTTCTAATTAATTTTATTATTCAAGTATTGTAGATAGTGTGCTGTTCGATTTCTTTTTTGACAGTTGACTTTTATATTTTTATGTTGTTTTTTTTTTAACAAAAGAACCAAAACATCTAGTAATAAAGTAACCAGAGGTTATAAAAGAGATGGGTAAAGAAACCTAGTCAAAAGTCTCACCCCTCCCCCCAGGAATGAAAACCTCCCTGGGTTCTTCCGCAATTAGCCAGTCTGTGACCATTTCCATTTCAGGTCTGATTAATATGTATGAAAAGCTTAGCATTGGCTTCCCTAGCCAAGCTTAAAATATCCTTGTACAAGGATTGCAAATCCCAAGGGACGGATACAAAATTATTCACAAAATTGATCCACTCCTTAGAATCCGACCAGATCTTCACCCCTTGCCATCCATCAGCTTTCATTCGCTGTAGTGCACTAAGGATAGCCATGCCTTCAGCTTGTACCAGGCTGGCCACACAGCAATCCGCACACCCTGCAGCTATAATCTGCCCTCCTGCCGCCTTGGTTATAAAATTACTTACACTTTGACACCTTGCTGCAGTGCGCTAAGGAACGAGGACCACTCAATTTTTTTTGACACCCTGCAGCTCAATTTCTCCAATATCTATCTCCAATACATGAGATAGATGTGCAAAATAAGATGGGAAACATTACAAAATGCTCGGGGGTGTCAATTTCTTTTTTGCTTACTTTTGTTGTATTGTAAGCAATAAGTTACTTTCTTTATAAACCTTATATGGTAAAAACTTGTGGAACACTGAGATCCATAAAATATTATTGGTTTCATAATTATTTTATAATTTTTTTCTTTTAATCTCAAAGGTATTCAATGATCACACAAGCCTGATCCCCTCTGTCATTTTAATTATCCTTTTTTTACTCTATAAATAATAAATCCATCAATCTCTTAATCTTGTTGAATAATTGATCCAAGATACCTAAAGCTTTTACTTAAAAGACTTTTTGTTCATCCAATTCAACTATATTCTCTTGTCTATTTCTAGAATTACTAAAATTATATTTTATATATTCAATTTTATTCGTACTTAATATTAAACTTTTAGTTTCTAAGGCTTACATCCATAGCTAAAGTTTAAATTAATTCTACGTAGGCTCTCATAACTAAGTTAATATCATCAGCAAATAATATATACCATGGAGACCTATCATATAAATGACTTGTAGGTTCATCCATTATTAATGTAAAAAGGTTGAGACTTAATACGAATCCTTGATGTAATCATATGCTAGTAGGAAACTCACTAGACACACTTCCTATAGTTGACACCAGTAGTTACATTATCATACATATCTTTAATAACATCAATATAATTAGTGAATAGCTTTTCTTTTCTAAAACCCACTATAATAAATCTCTAGGAACTCTTTCAGAGGCTTTCTCCAAGTCAATAAAAATCATATGCAAATCTTTCTCTTTTTCCCTATACTTTTTCATTGATTGTCTTAATAAATAAATAGCGTCTATGGTTGATCTTCCAAGCATAAAATCAAATTGATTTTCTAAGATATTTGTTTCAAGCTTTATCCTACATTCGATTACTCTTTCGCAAAGTTTTATAATATGTCTCATGATCTTAATTCCTCTATAATATAAATAATTTTGTGTGTCACCCTTATTTTTGTAAATTGACAATAAAATACTCTTTCTTTATTCGTCAAGCATCCTTCCGAATCCCATGATTTTGTTAAATATGTCAGTTAACCAAGCTACTATCTTGTTCTATAAACTTTTCTAGATAATAGGAATATTGTCATGCCTCACACTCTTAGTAATTTTATATCATTTTTAATGCATCTTTTACTTCATTACTTTTAATTTTATGAACAAATCCATTATTATTTATCGTTAAATCTAAGTCATGTGTCAAATATTTATTAAATAATTTATAAAAATAATTTTTTTATCTTTTCTTAATCTCGTTATCATTAACAAGTATTCTTTAATCTTCGTCTTTAATGCATTTGATAACCTAAATCCTTACACTTTCTTTTCTTAGCTTTAGCAATTCGATATATATCTTTTTTACCATATTTAATATCTAATTTATTATAAAAATTATTATAAGCTTTATATCTTACCATACTAATCGCTTTTATAGCCACTTTTTTAGATTTTTTATATCTTTTAATTTTTTTCTCATTTTTATAATTTTATCAATCTTTAAAATATAATCATTTAGTAGAAATTATTTTTTGAACTTCCTTACACAACCACCAACTCTCTCTTAAGATTACACCTCTATCTTTAGTTTCACCAAAAAATTTCTTTGTTAAGCTTCTAATTTTTTTAGTCATCGTAGTCTAAATAATATTAATATTATCCTCATCTAAGTTCCAAGTCGTCTCTCTTTCCATTTTATTCTTAAAAGTGTTTACATTATCATCTTTAAAATTCCATCATCTAGTCCTTATAAAATTTTCTATTATCTTTTTCTTCTTTCAATTTTTACAGTAAATATTTAATGCCATCAACCTATATTGATTTATCAAACTTTCACTAGGTATAGCTTTATATTTCTTACAAATAACTTTATTTATCTTTATAGTGAGAAAAAAAATTTATTTGATTATAGTGGTGGCCACTCTTATAAGTAATTAAATGTTTAGCTCTCTTCTTAAAGTGAGTATTTACAATTATAAAATCATACGAAGATGTAAAATCTAAAATCATACCATCATCTTCATTTCTCTCACTATAACCAAAGCCCCTATGCACCCATTTATATTCATCATATGATTTTCCTATATGACCATTCAAATCTCTTCCAATTAATACATTTATATTCATCATATGATTTTCCTATATGACCATTCAAATCTCTTCCAATTATAGTTTTTCGATTATAGGCATTCCTTGAATGATATCATCTAAGCTTTCCCAAAATTCTCTTTTGGTTTGATCATTCAATCCGACTTGAGGGGCGTAAGTACTAATGACATTCAAAGCATCTTATCCTTTCACAAATTTTAGAACTATAATTTTATCTCTAAATCCTTTTACATCTATAACATTGTTCTTAAGATCCTTATTAACAACAATTCCTACATCATTTCTGTGTTTAACTTTTCCACTATACCAAATTTTAAAATTAGATTTTTTTCCTACCCACTTAGTCTCTTGTAAACAAATAATATTTATTCTTCTTATGATCATATTGTCTATTATTTATAATCCCTTCCCTAAAAGTGTTCTCATGTTCCAAGTTGTTAACCTAATCCTCTGTTTTTGACTAATTTCTTTACTCCCATTGATCCAAAACAATAAGAGAACTCTTGCCTACTTGACACCCCATTTGGGCACGATGTGATAGGCCGCTTCCGGGCAACATCCTAGCCCACCATTTGCAATTCCGAACCTCTAGGTGGTGAAGGTGCCTCGCGTCACTTCTGGGTGACGACCTAGCTCTATATTGAAATCGGTTATGATCCATGTTCATGAGATCTGATATAGTTTTACACATGGTTCGTCTGATTGGTATATTAGTATGGTACGTACTTCTATACCAACACATGGTACAATGGAGCATATCGATAAACTAGTATATACCACCTATACTAGTCTCTTATCGGATCGGTACGTACCACTTGTACCATATGGTATGCCACGGGACGACAAACTTTGGGTTTACGCTGATTGTCAATGACCTAACGAAACCCTTTATCTTTTTCATATGGGCTTGGGATCGACGTTGGCACTAGTAAATGTCTGCGTACTAAATGGAATGAGGTGGGTCCAACTACTCTATGACAGCAATATATGTGTGCAAGGATATTTCTTATTAATATGTAATTAACTGGTTTTAAGTTCACTTAGGAAAGCTAATGATTCAAGCACAGATGTAGATTTGTTCATGTGCCTGCATCTTATCTCTGAAAACTTAGGGGTTTTTATGTGAATTGGCATGTGAAATACAAGAAAAGTAAAACAATATATCTACAAGACTGATGTACGAAGGATGAAATCTCCCATGCTTAATAACTGGTAAACATTTCTTTGGTACCCTCAAATTGATTCTTGAGTTGCAATTGGTTATCCTACCAGATGGGCAACTTATCTCCTCAATCTGAACAAGTTACATGATCTTTTGGTATTTTGACAAATATATAGCCAGCTAACCAAACCTGGAGAATATTTTCAAATTATACATAAAATCTAAATGCATAATTTCTGGTCATCATCTTTGCACTCTCTCTGCAGTGGCTATAAGGTTCTTACTTGGAAGTATTGCTTCTTTATGTACAGAAAAATTCTACTTTTGTGTTCCATGATTAGTTTATCCTTATCTGATGCATGTTTCTATCATGCACTCAAAACACTCCTCATTTGTGTTTTACTAGAAAGTTTGACTGCTGCCTCTTGCCGTCATGGATTAAGTTACTTGAGTGATCTTTAATCAACTTTTTTTTTTAATACAGAATTTGGCTATAATTTCAAGGTTGGCTGAGGAGAAGACCACTGCTATCCAACAGAACAATAAACTTCGACAAGAACTGGTAAACACTGGCATGGATAATCATGTGACAGGACTCTATTTCATGCTATTAAATCAAATCTTGTTGCATATGGCATACATCATAGAACAAGGTAATAGTTTAACAGATATTTTGATAAGAAGCTTGTACAGAATTCTGGCATAAGCTCCGGAACTCTTGAACAGATTCTCTTCCTGTTTATATGATGCCTTCTTTTGCTTGATGCTTCAATTTTTATGTACTCGAAAGTTCCTAATGCTTATTTGCTGGTGTTAGGTGCCACACAGACCCATTATTGTTAATATTACATAGTTTGTTGTCTTTTGGTACGGCTAAAATATTTTCCACTGACATATTCCAGTTGCAAAGGCTATAACCATGGTAACAAAGTCTGATCTATTATGTTCTTGATGACCTCCATTCATTTGTATATATCGAAAAGCAGTGATACAACAATCATGAACATTTTGTTTCTTCGGTTCAAGTAAGTCAGTACTAGGTTTCACTACCAGGACCCACGTAGGTTGTGAACTGGCTGTAGTCAACTTTCTTAATCTAAAATAGATTTGAGATGTAATAGCACTTTAGTTTACATGTATTTGTGTGTTTATGCAAGTTAACCTCTCTTTGAAATAGATTAAACAGGTCTTTGGGAAGTTTGTTCCCGTTATTGCATCCTGATAATGTTAACCTAGATACTTTATTTATAGAACAGTTCTATTGTCTGTCCATTAGATAAAGGGGTTACTTATGATGCACATATATGGATTGAATCAACTCCTTGATTCAAGTTGGATTGTGTTGGTGGGTCCGTGAATAAAAGCTGAAAAGCTTTAGATTATATCTCCAACAGATGGGATTACAGAAATTGTTTAAGTATCATATTCTATCTCTTGAATTAACAAAATATAAATGGGACACTCTGTAGGTTTGGCCCTTGTTCGGATTGTTGTTGTTTGGCGTCGCTCCTTTCAAGGAATTGACAAAGCTTTCTTTGCTTACCTTCTGCCCGTTGATTGTTTTCAGATTCCATCGTTGGTGTGTTCCCTGCCTGTAATAATGGTTATGGACCTTTTTTAATTATATTAGTGAGTAAATTGTGCAACATGTTCTGTTTGTTTTGCATGGTCAAAAGTCAGAGCGAAATTATAACAAGTTATCTCATTTGGCAAAACATTCAGCTATCCTAAATCCCTGATCTCTTGATGAAGCTTGCGAAACCAGGATTTATGGTTTCAATCGTCATCATTACAAGTACTTTCTGTATGTGGTAGGAAGCAAAAGGAATTTTGGCATCGGTTGAAGATATGCACTTAGACATGAAGATGAACTGCATTCGTTGCAATTCCAGAACATGAGAATTGTACATATTATTGTTAATGAGTCAGTTTTATGCAGTGAGCATGGGTGTTTTCTTCAGAGTTTGTAGACATTCTGCAACAATTCTTTCTTTTCATTGAATGCAGGAACTTGTGAGGCGAGAAGTCAGCAAGCAACAAGGTGGCTTCTCATTCATGTTTGTGGTGATTATTGCGTTGCTTGGAATTTTTATGGGGTACATGTTCAAGAAGTAAGATTCAATTGTAGCCCTTCTCATTGATTTGACTGCCATAGATTGTGTTAGGTTCCTTGTAGGATTTTAGTGATGGCTCACCTAAGGTGTGATGGGTTCATCTGTGTAACATCTGCTGCTATGGTGTGTGATTTCAGAGTGCTTTGCCTCCTTTTTGTATTTCATACTAATGTGTAGAAGAACTTGTTTGTGAGCAAGTTCTATGAAGAATCTCAAACATTGAATTCGTGATTAAGAAAGAGTACAACTAGCTCTGGAAAAGCTTGATTTCACGACATCCATCTTTGTGTTCTTTATTCATTTAAGCTCTGTGAGATCTAATGAGGTTGATGTTTTAAAGACATGATTATTCAGAGGAAAATGAAAAATTCAAGTAATTCAAGCTATTTCAATTTTGAGATTTATAATGATATTAGTCGTATAAATTTATTTATTAAAAGTTGAGAGCTTAAAATTGTATTTAATTAAATTTATAGATAAAATATTAAAATAGTGATGTACCAAACTCTCTCATTAAAGGTTGAAGGTTTGAGATTTTGTAGGACAAATTTAGGATTGTAAAATTATATTAAGGTATTTTATCGATATTTGGATTGATATATATCAACATGTACTAATGTAGCAATACATGACACATCAATATATATTAAAAAAATATGAAAAAGAGAAAAATAAAAGATGGGAAACCTAATTGAAAGAGAAGTCGTTTGAAGCCAAATAATTTCATAACAAACCGAGGACATAACTCTATATTCAGCTTTAGTAGAAGATGTATATACTCTCTCTCTCTCTTTCTGTTATTTTTTGCAGTTTCATGAAACAAGAGCATCATCAAGATATTTACACCAACTTGTTGTAGATTGATGAGAATCTGAACACTCTGTCCGATGAGCGTCGCTATAAGCTTGGTGGGTAAGAGAAAAATCAAATCTTCCTGCAATAAAAAAAGAAAACAATTTGTTTAGGAAAAATAGTCATATAAAACGATACATGAACAGTTATGTGGACAATGATCTCCCACGGCAGCAACACCATCAAATCTGGACATCCCTATCATATGCTAGAGACCCAAGGAAAGTAAGAACTAAAATATTTTTCAAGATGCAAAAATACTGATATAAAGGCTGACATAAAAGCTGCAACCATGCAAGAACTCACAAAACCATCTTGTCATTTGGCTTATCAGGATCTTAGTTATAACTTTAATGTACACCTGTCCCTTATATATTGCACTTCTGGTAAGTTTGCTGTTTGATCCTTGAGGCTTGTCTTGCAACTGAAAATTTTTCTTCCACCAATAGCTGGCACTATGTTTATGCACAGGAAGACTAGAATAAACTTAAGTCATACCATTTGCAGTATCCACAATGGAACATACAGCTCACTGACAGTATCATGTTCTTCACCATGACACAACAATTTGGTAACTGATTGAAGTCTTCTTATCATGTGATGCATTCCCAGTGGTCAAGCCTTGGGGTGACCAGACCTGAGACGCAAACCAGAAGCCATACCAACATGATGCTTATTTCACATAATCATCCATTATGTCTCTAACTGAGATTCATTCTTAGATAAATTTTGCACAACATATTACGAAAAAAATTAAGGGACTGACAACCAACCCACTGTGGAAATACCTCAGGATATGTTTTGAAATGTTACTTGCCTAGTCCTATAGATCCTAGGCTTAAGCAATCATAACTTGCATCAGAACTTATTGCCCATGAGGTTTCTAACTTTTGAAGCTTATCCACGCTATTTAGAACTTCTTTAGGTGTATTTGTTCTATTCCACTATCTTGAAGGCTATCACAGAAATTACCCTGGCATCTTATTCTGTATAGGTAACTCCCTATGATGAAAAATATGATTTGAAGGAAGCAAAGTTTAAAAAATTAGTGTAGTAATTTTACATTTTCCTCTGGCATATACAACAAAGTGGATGATCATTTGGGGTGGATGTGTTAAGAGGGTTTCCCTGCTATAAATTCTTCATTGACCTAACAAACTCAGGTTACATGAAATTGTTCTCAAAGAATAAACATTGTTTTGGTTTCTGATGAGATTAGCAAGAATTAAAAGTCCAATTTAGCTAAATATTATCATACAATCAAAAACTAAGCAAAGAATTTATGACAAAAGGTCGATGGCAAAGGCAAAACTCCCACCGACTTCCCTTTATTTTACTTCAATTACTCTTGGATAAAAATTCTGGAAGCTGAGTGAATTTCAGCCTCGATAAAATCTGGTTCCAGACAAAACCAACTTAACTGCTTGACACTGGCAGGAACTTCACTTCATAGCCATAAAACTGACAAAGTAGGTAAATTGATACTTGAAGCTCCACAGGAAACATACACAAACATATGGATACACAGAGATGCATGCCGACAAATGCTGGAGCTCACAGATGCATTCATATGTGCATGCACCATTCAGCCAATATGCATGAACAAAAACTAAGTCAGCATTTGCTAGTGATGTATACCTAAAGGAAGACTTCCATGCAGAGAAAAAAACAAGCAGAATGAAGAGAGAACAGAATACGACAATTAGCCTGACATAAAACAAAGGAAGCTCTAGAGGTAAGGAATTCCTGAGAAGAAGGAACACCTAAAAATATGAACTATGTTAGAATATCGAGATGTTAGAATTTTGAATTATGAGGCCATGACAACAAATAGCATGCCATGATTCTAGCTTTCTTACAAAACATATGCATGTAAATGGTATTTGTTGTAGACCTCATAATATTGCAACCCAAACAGGTCGACATCTACATGGAACAACAAACAACCTCGTAAGACCTATTTCAGTTTGTATAAACCATGAAAAAAGCTATGAGATCTAATATATTTAGTTTTAACTTAAGCATGCAACTTTCCACCAAGCACTGTAACAATTTCTCCATCATTCTACAAAAACCTAATTCTTCTATTATAGCAAATATATGCTCCATTTCAAGAATATGTAATCTTCTATTATCAAATTTTCATCCTGCTAAAGATCTATGGTCATAGTCATGGTGAGAGCAGAACCTTTCAAATGCTCATCATGCCTATGCTTTTGTACTGTTGTCATTGATTTTTATAATTTTTATTTGGCTATTTAAACTATCTCGAAATGCCAATCTGAAGAAAATTACTAGACAGCAAAGATGACACATACAATCCTATGTTGAAATCATTGGTTCATCTAGAGAATTCAATTCTCCCTTTTTCTTCCGTTACATGGCCTGAAATATATACCACATACTCATGAAACTTAGGTCTATTATGGCAAATGACCAAAATATCTATCAACTTTTTTTTGCAGTACTGTCCTTTGTTATGACTAACAATGTTAATCAATTAGAAAGACTAGCACTGTTATATGCATAGCTACAAAAATCATAAAGTTTAAGTCTAGAAGAAATTCCTTCCTGAGTTTCAAGCAGTATAAAATTTTCACTCCATACTGGAGACCTCAATATAGGACACCATGAAATATGATACATAACCAAGGATGGCAACAAGTACTTTAAGAAGCCAGTCAAACGCTTGCATCAAAGTTTCCATGTATATAGTATACATTTAATAATTCTAGATTAATTTTAAAAAAAATCCTGAGCTTAAGACGCTACCTCCAATATTTCATATAAGGATTCACATTTGAATTTTAGATATAATGCTGCATATATTGTCCCTCCTAATCCCACATTGGCGGAAACCTCATGCACTAGGTACATCCTTTTCTTATTCTCATTTCAAGTTTAAGCTAAAATGTTCAAAATTGTCCTATGCTAATCTCCACATTAACAATTGCTTCTTTGGAAAGACTTCGCCACAAGTTCAATTATAAAAAGTTACTAAATTGAAGCTCATAAGACATCACTCCTTTCATGCCAAAACCAAAAGATGGAATATGATTCCCACGGTTTTCACCACCAAAAACTCTTTTGGCTTCTAAATGTCCCAACCACTTTTCCAACATGCAAAACATAAGACCTTAAGATTTCTTCTTTCCCGACCAGTCGGACAAGATACATTCAAGGGACAGTGCATTAAATTTATTAATGGATAACCATACAAAAGGGAAACTACTCCTTATTGATTAGAAACCAACAAACTTTTTCAAATTTGATAGCTTAAGAAAGCATGTGCATCAGTACGCAGTTCAAATTCAATCACCTTTCAGGTATCAACAATCAACATTTCGCACTTCTATAAACAAGTGCAAAAGAAAATAAAAAGTACCTAAATGTAATCTGTAGTGGCAAATTAGCATCAAAAAGTCGGCAAAACAATATGATATATTGTGCCAAAACGTTGGTTCATATAAGGAAAAGACAGTTCACATGTAGGGAAAAATAAACAGTTAATCAAAATGTTAACAAGGGATAAAGCACCATTTATGACTGTTGTAAAAGAAGTATTTTGATGATGTCTCACCTTGAAAACCCTCGATCAGGACCATTTTTCCGTGTGGCAGCCAGAAGCGCCCGCTCCCTCCCCTTTTCTTTCTTCTCTCGCTTCATCCTCTCCTCCCTCAGCTCCTCTATCGTCTTCTTCCCTGCAGTCTTCTTCCCGGAAACACTAGCAACCCTGGAACCGGCAATTTCTTCATCAACGGCCTCCGACGACATGGCCGACGGCCGTGAGAGGTACCATGGCGCCTTCACCCCCTTCCCGACCAGCCCATACCCCAGCTTATACTTCTCGTCCTCCGGCGCCACCGGCACTGGCGCATCCTCTCTCCGCCGCTTCTTGGAGCTCTTGGAACCGCCCTCTTCGGCCTCCTCCTTCTTGAATCTCTTGCCGTCACGGGTGGCCACTTTGTCCTGGGCGCCACCGAGGGAGGAGAAGTCAGAAACGCCGTCGAAGAGGTTGAAGTGGCGGGAATCGTCGACGGAGGGGGGTTGTTGGTGGTGAAGGCCACGGGCACGCCGAAGGCGGTCGAGGCGGAACTCGGCGTCACGGCGTCGGGACTGCTCGCGCTGGAGCTGCTCCTCGCGAGCTGCGGCCTCCTCGTCCTTACGGACCTTCTCGCGGTTCTCGTAGTTGTAGACGTTCCACCGCTTCTGCGGCAATATGTTGAGCCCTCCATGTCCTCCCATGGATCGATCGAGCGAATATTGGGGGTTTCGAAAGGAAGGGATCGGCGAAGACAGTTAGGGTTTGGTCTCCCGATCGATTTCGTGCGGGGAAGAAGCAAAAGGAAATACTTGTAGCGTTTTATAAGGTAACGGCAACAATATAACGCATGTTACAATAATCCCGTCATATTCCTCCAATAGATTGGAAAGCCATTTGGACCGACTGTCTCATAAAATAATACATTAGTTTTTTTCTTTAAATATTGTGCAATCAATCGTAGAATTGCCTCTCTCTTTTTTCCTTACATGTATCAGTTATGGCATAGCTATGTATTTAAGCATATGATTATGAACACTCAATGCAATAATAATTAGAATGTATTCTCGGTAATAATTGCATAAGATGTCCATCCACGAAAATTAAAGCAGATTTGGAGGATGAACATAATCTGCTATTTTCTCTAATTAGCTTGCAAATGAATACTGTGAGAATAATATCATGAGCTTAAGGTATTAGTTAATTTAATTGATAATTTTTTAATAATTTTAATATCATGAAGTAGTTAACAATATATATCTTGTATTACTTATTATTACACAAGCAATAAATATTATATTCGAATTTAATAAAATAATATGAAAATATATTGTTTCCTTCTTCCCTTTGCTTCTTTCAACCAAAAAAGATTTATATTCTGAAGAAAAGATGTGCATGTATAATTATTTTGTCTTGCTAATTCATGCTTGACAAAATCTGATAGAATTATGCAAGCTGAGATAACCTGTAGAACTCTACATAACTTTGAAGTATTATATTGGTTGGTGGATTTGGGTTGGGCCCAACTCAGCCCAGCCTTTTACCTGTTAGTTGATGCAGTATTATCACCTTACGGTCACCCTCATAATTTGTAATGTTTTATTTAACTTATATTATAATATATCACATCACGAAGGAAAAAAAAAACTATATTTATATGTACGGCAAATTCACCAAAATATTTTTTATTTTTTATCGATTAGTGTTCCTTTTTTATTTATTCACGTAGAGTATCTCTTTTTTTTTAAATATAAAATTATTTTGCCTCCATCCTATCAATTGTTGTCTTCACCCATGCACCATTCTCTTGTCATCGTCTTCGCTTATGTGCCACTGCTCTCATCATTATCCTCGTTAATCTCTTCGCTTATCTGAGATCGCCTACGGATCTTAGTTGCCACCTATTATGCCATCAGCAACAAGTCCCTCACCTACACCCCTTAATTTGAGTGCATCGTTGATCGCTTGATAGTCCTCCTATCGTCACTTGTAATAGTCATTAATTTCTATAGTTTTCACCACGACTTGTGTTGGTGTTTATCATATGTATCATTGATGTTCCTCTCATCGTCGTAGTTATTAATTTATACGGTTGTCACCATGACTCGTGTTGGTGCTTACCATATGTGAATTATTCCATCTATCTCAATGACCCTTGCATAAGTCTCAGTCATTTATCGATTCTAATCATTATCGTTCTGACCACCTCCCCCACTCTACTTGTCAATCTTAATGATAGATAAGAGGCCGATGTGATTACGAGGACACATGAGCAAGTATAATAATGAGGGCATAAAGGTAAGAATAATGCAGGAGCAAGATGAAAATGATAGGTTGTTAGGGTAGAGGCGACAATTGATACGGCGAAAATTCAAAAAAAAATTAAAAAATAAAAATAAAAATATCCAATGGAAATAAATAAAATATATTAATAAAAAATGAATACTTTTTTTATATATAAAAAATTACCCTTAAATGTACTGCACATGCATCGTTGGAAACTGAAGCACTGAAAGCAGACGAAGAAGTCACCTGAGAGGTTTTCTAGACCAGCTGAGGATGAGGACAAGGGAAGAACAAAAATGGTAAAAGTGTACCCGTAGTTTCCCCAGCCCACACAATCTGAGCAGTCCCTGTGATGGGGAGCTCCAAAGAGGATGTGATCTCTGGCTGCCAAGTTTTCCACTGGATGTGCCAACTGCTGATTTATATCAAGAGTCGAAGGTATGAGGTTGATGTCTGCATGCAGCCGCGCCACAAAACCTGGAAGTGGACTTGGCATCTAAGCTCATTTGCTGTCAATTATGTCTAAAGTCCTCCACTGTAATCGAGACGACAGCAATGGATGGACAGCTACGAGAGGACAAAAGATGGCGTGGATGTGTAAGCCACGGACATATAATATGCTGTCATGCCCCTTCGTGGAAGTAAACTATTATGCTTGGTCTACTCCATCGACCAAGCATAATAGTTTACTTTGGATGTGTGAGTCGGATTCCAAGTTGCACTTAAATAATAAGAAGGAATTAAAGAGTTAGGTCCAACCACATTACAACTAAAAGAATAAATTAATTTAACTGACAATATCATAATATTCTTATATACATAAATATAACTTTGCATGCGTTTACAATTACGATGGCAAAGGCAATTCATTGGTCTACTCCAAACGAATTAAGTGATTGAATTTTCTATTCTTTCCAGTCAAAATATATTGTGCTCGAGGCATAATAAAGTCAAAATAGGAAACACGTAGCATAAGGAACTTCTTGATTCGATGTGGCACAGGAAAAGATGAATTGGAGTTGACAGGAAAAGTTAACGTTCCCACTAGTTCATGATACGTAGGGTTTTCTTGCACACTCAACTTGGGATGGGAGAAGAGACATATTTTTTGGTATGGTTGCAGTGGGAAAAAACAAGAGAGAGAGAGAGAGAGAGAGAGCATCAACTTTTCATGGCATTATTCTTTGGCGGTTCCTTTATCTGAGTGAAAACAAACGATCTGATGCATGCAAAGATCACAAAGTATTTCGCAAGCTGACCGTCAAATCTCAACCCACACGCAGCTTGCCGATGAGCAGCTTCAGATCGAGGCGGGAGGCAGAGATCAACCATGGCAAGGAAGGAATCCAGTAAGGCATATTCCAGATTCTACCTTAGCGGAAGCAAAAGTAGAGGAGTGAGAGAAAGGAGAGACGATGATAAACGTCTTCGTGAAGCAGCTCGACTGTTGTCAAGTGCAGTCGAGGCCGTCGATCGCTATAGTCTCTCGGTGGCCCCTCCACTGCAGAGGACAGGGGGGTGGCGTGCGGGAAGAAACCACGGCGGGATGGGATTAGCCCCGTCGATGAAAAGAAGGACCGGATGACGGAGTTAACGTAGACGTATCGGCCACGGAAAGTCACGTACAAGAAAACACGGCGCGTACGTCACCTGTTTCGTGAACATAAACAGCCCCACCACCCACCATTCTTTCCTTTTCTTTTCCTGAGACCCCTTTTCCTAACTCACTGATCCATTGTCTGGACGTCCCGCGCGGGACCCACAACCTGAATCACGAGATTTGAATTCCGTGGTCCAATCTCGTCTGCGGGTCGATTTGGATTCGTGGGTCCAATTATCAATTAATATGGTCCGTCTGATGTGTTCGATGATATTAGTGGCTCAAGTTGGCCACCGCATTGTATCATTCGATACTTTAGTTATCCACATGATTTGTCAGCTTTCCATTGTTATAGATTTTATATTCGCACGTAATTTTCTGATACATTGAGATACGAGCCTATACTATACTACGTACACGTACAAACTCCATAGTCCAAGTATGAGGGATCAAGCTTCTGAAGGAAGCAATATTACTGTGTCATCCAAGGGCCAATAATTTCTTTTCCATCTCCCAAGAAACACAATCATGTCGCTTGGAAACCTACCCTAGATAGGACCATCGACGTCAAACCAACGCCAACGAAGTTATCATAAAATAATAGAGATGTAAATGTTGTATTAATGATTTTTTTTATTTTTAATCTTTCTTTTTTGTTTTTACAAGGGCTTGGGATACATATTACGTGGTGGTGTTTCACTGGGTTTATGGTAGAGTGGCGTGCGCCTTTTAGCACAGCCAATCCGTGGTAAGGATCTGCGACTTGTCGACCCCACAGCAATGGGGAGAAGGAATATGCGGGCGGCACGGCGGGTATTATGCCAAGGAATATCCGCGGAATATATCGAGGTTGTCACGTACATGGCAGTGAACGGTCGATAAAGCCCCTCGGCCGTAGTAACCAACGAGGCCACCTCGGAGGGGCACCCCCGTGATTTGGCGCACCGACAGCACCGCTGGCTGCCGCAGCCTCGCGTGCCTACAAATCCCCGCATCAACCCCTGCCATCTTCTTCCTCGGAGCGAGCTAGCGGCTGAGCTGCATCCACCGTCAGCAAACGAGAGGGAGAGACTAGTGGAGTTTGATAAGATCATCTCATCCAGGTAACAACAACCCCTGACAAAGAATCCATTCCATGCAACCCCTGTTGTGTTGTATTAGGAAACAGTTCGTGATCCAGTACGCAATCTAGCGAGATGCTGCGGGTAGATTAGGATGGGATCTTTGTTGTGTCTCTTATATCGATACAGTTCATGCAATTTAGCGACTGGTTGAAATCTAACCGATTCTATTTAGAACACAGACGTTTGACTTTTTCCAGACGTTCTTCTTCATGGATCCGTTTTCTCGTTATAAATAGGATGTAATTTTGTTTTGGTGGTAAAAGGAGAAAGTCTTGCTGTAAGCGATTCTGATACCTTTCTTGACGGGGATAGTTAAGAGTGTTCTTTGGTGAAATCTTCGGTTGACAGACTTGCGTGATTCCTTCGTTTTCAATCTGCATGGCTTGGTTCAGCTATCTTGATTGCCTTCGGTCATGTTTCTGCATCGGAGTAGCAGTTTCTTGATCGTTTACTCTGGATGTTCTACTGTTCTGTGGTTCCCCTGCTTCTGTGTTCTTGGATCATGCTAATGGCGTAACGTAACTTTGTTTGTAGATTATGATTAGCTCTCTCGATTAAATCATGATGTCCGATGCATCTACTGAAAGTAATTGTAATACTCTGTTGAATCGGAACATCGAGCAAATCACAGTAAAGGCGTGGTTCTAAATTTTTGAGTTGCGTGTGGCTTTTCAGATGGCGATATCCTTATAGCAGAGGAAGAAGACAACTCTCTTGGAAGACCTTCGCATCTGCTTCACTGCTTTTGGAAGATAAAGACGTACGCCAATCATTCATGGGTTCAGCA